AACCAATCAATGATTCTCTCTCATCATTGATGTTTCCATCTCCCTCTTCCTCTCCCTTCCACTCTGAAATCAATAAAAAAACTTTTTAAAAAAAGATATCTGCATTTTAACAGTTCAGTTTTCATCTGTTTGTAACATTTCAAGGAATTTCCTATTTGTCTCTGCAAACATAACCCTTTAAATGTAATTATTTTAATGGCTCCTTCTGCTCTCCAGCTCCTATTCTTTCCTGCCATATGGGAAAGCCGCCATTCCGTAAGCCGCCCCTCACCTTAAAGCATATCCATCTTCACTGAGAGGTCCAGGGTCTTCCCACCCGACTCAGAATGAGAGTCCTAGAATTCATGATGGAATCAGGAATTCTCTGCCCACAGCAGTCACACTGAGGAGGGGAGGTGCTCATCCTGCCTTTTATACGCCTGACCCCTCACAAACCACCACCAGCAACAGCTCAGTCTACCTTTAGGTCGGTGTCTCGGGCTCTCTGGTTCATTTCTCCTGCTGCGCTCTGACCCTCCATCCCGTTCCGATCTGCTGCTGTGCCGGCTTCTATCCCGCTCATCTGTCAAGAGTCACACGCAGAGCTTAGGAAACATGTGTCCCATCCCAACTTCCACCCGTCTTCACCCTCAGGAAAGGACAGGCCTTCCCACTCACTCACAGGTACAACCTGCACTGCTCTATCCATGGGCTCCTGACACTCACATGTCCCCATTCTTTCAAGGGGAAAAACAGTTACTGGCTAGAAAGTTTCAAACTCACAGTAACAGTTACCTTCCTGTAAGAATTCAGAAGAGGATAGTTACAAGTCTATAGTGAGTAGCTGCTTAAGAGTTACAAGTCTGTAAGGTATAAAATTAAACACTACTGAGCAAGGCCAGCACTGGACTATGTCTAGCTTTGCTCCATAGCACCGTCCTTTCTCTGTCATTGGCACTACTGTCAACTGTGATTTCTCAGACATACTACTCATTATCACCTTTATCACCAAGTTCCATAATAAAAGGAAGACCACACATTCAAACATAGCAGCTATGTTGCAAGGAACAGTTCTTAAACTGCCTGCTATTCCCAATCCCAACAGGGTCAAAACCAATCAGAATGACATTATGCAAAGAGGGCTTCGTAATTTAATGGGCATTATAAACACTCCTGCATCAGGAAAGATGCTGGCACGTTCATTCAAATACTCAGTGGGCTATGGGACCTCTGCTGGGCACCCTACCTCTGTCCCTCTTGCGGTCACCATCTCGATCCCGCGACCTCTCCTTCCGATCCTTCTCTTCTTTGGACGAGGCGTAGACACCATGTTCCCGGCGCTCCCGCTCTCTCTGCCGACTACGTTCCCAAAACTCTTCGCTCACACCACCGGGGTGGGATGGAGTCTCGACCCGAGCAGAGCGATAATGTCTGGAACAGGGAGGGCAACAGGTAAAGGAGAAAAGCCTCGCCCACCTCTGGCTGTGCCCAACGAGTGACCTGTCCTTTTCCCCTTCATCCCCTGGTACTGCAGGCTTCCATACGGCAACGACCCACAGCATTCCTAACCACCACCATCTCCTTTAAATGTCCCCCACAAATCTGAAGAATGTACCAGTTCCTACCTGCCCTCAATACTATAAAATCAAATAAATCCAAGAAAAATGAGAGATAAATGTGGGACATGATTTCCTGGCCTCCATTTCATTCCCTATGGGTCAACCCATCCTAAAGCCTTTACCTGTCTTTCCGGCTACCTCGACCAGACTGGTCACTGCCGTCCTCCTCAGCATCCCTCTGGTCATCCTTGCTCTCTTCCCAGTCCTTGTAGGAAGAGACTTTGGATTTCTTCTTGTCCTCCCCATCGTCTTTCTCCTCTCGCTCCCTCCGTTTCAGGGAGGCCAACAAGTCCAGTCCCAGCAATGAAGGGCGGGGAGCGGGGGCCTTAAAGACATGCTGCTCACTGGCTGCACTCTTGGTCTTGCAAATAAGACCGCCAACCTGAGAGTCCCCATCAGTGCCTTCCAATCTATGGATCGAGGTGTCTTCACTGGAGTCCTCCATGATAGGTTCTGGGATTTCTCTAGAAGGAAAACAAGCCATTTGGCAAAGGACACAAGAGGGGAAAGGCTTAGCTCTGCTGTACCCTAAGATAGCTGTAGTCATGGGTATATTTAAGACCAGGATTTCTTAAGTACCTCTTGCTAAGATCCTTCCATCATGTCACTGACAATCTCAAAAGATCACCCTACTCCCACCTCAACAACACACATAAGAAATATACACACATTCACCCCAAATACCAGGATCCAAGACAGCATCCTCGGGCCTCATGATGGCACACGTATTAGAGCATGATGACATCTATAAAGGGGGTGTCGGGGATTTGAAGTCAGAAACCTACCTGTATGAGTGTAAGCAAATAACTTAATCTTTGGTTAGGCATAATTTCTACATCTATAAAATGGAAATACTTTTTGCTCTAATCCATGGACTTCTTGTGAAAATCAAACAACAGAGAATATGTGAAAGCTCTCTGTAAGTATAAAGAGTTACATAAATGCAATTGTTACATTATATCCTTTGCTGTGCTCCTATGCTGGGTCCCTTGCCATTTTTTTTCTTTTACATGAGTTCTTCTACCTCTCCCTCCCTTTAAACTCACAGAGACTGCAGAGATATTGGGGTACAAGGCTACCATCTATGTGATCCATACTTTACTAGCTTTTTTTGGACCAGTTGTATATAGAACTCAAAATCTGTTTAAAAATCATCTATGTTCATCAAAAACATTGACGAGAAGCACTAGGTTAGAAAACGGGTGTTTCTGAAGAGTGCTTATTTAGGTGGCTGTAAGATTTCCTGGTACTCCACTTGTAATTAATTCCTCTTTTCCTCCCATTATACACCATCCACCAATTCTGAGCGCTTGGATAATTGCCCATTCCAACAAGTCAGTGAAGCAAAGGCAGTGTCAAGGAGCGGTGTACCTCCAGAATCCAGAATGATTTGCACAGCTCCAATTAACGTGCACAGTTCTATGGAGGAATACAGTCAAACAGACTAGACACATAATATGGACACAGAAACAAGAGCTACGTTTTGAAAAATGTCATCAGGGGCCTGGCCTTGTAGGAAGTTTCCTCAGTGGTTAGAGCATCGGCCAGCCAACTGAAGGGTCATGGGTTTGATTCCCAATCAAAGGTCAAGGGCCAAGGGCACACATCTGGGTTGTAGTTTCAGTCTCGCCCCAATTGGGGCATGTGCAGGAGACAGCCAATCGATATGTCTCACATCAATGTGTCTCTCTCTTTCTCTCTCTCTCCCTCCCTCCCTCCTCCTACCTTCCTTTCCCCCACCCTTCCTTCCTTCCACTTTCTGAAAATCAATGGGGGAAAAAATATCCTCAGATGACGATTAGCAAAGAAAAAGAAAGAAAGGAAAATGTCGAGTAGGAGAAGGAAAAGCTGCATGTTGTTGACATCTGAATATACCTGTGAGAAAATCTAAGCAAGAAGGTGGAGCCGTACAGGCTGTGCTGGGAAGTCGTCTAACCTAGAAATATTGGAATGCCATTCCCATGCCATTCTACGCAGGAGAAAGGGCCCTGACTTGTCTGTCTTGCTGATGCTGTACTCAATGCCTAGCAAAACGCACGTTCGATGAATAAATGGATTAATGGATTTAAACTGATTAAAGGGAAACCGGAAGTGAGCCATTTGGAGAGACAGCAAGAGAAGATACCAGCGGCCCTAGACAAGGTGTCTGACAGCAAAACTTAATTCGCTGCTGAGATGAATAAGCAAGGAGCTAAGAGGCTGGATTCTGGAGAAGGATTAATGACAAGGAGGCTACATGAGGTAGGAGGGGGGAAAAAGCAATGGAAGAAAGAAACTGGATTTACTCATTGAACAATTATTCATTCAGTGCCTCCCCTGAGCCCATCGCTGTTCTGGGAAATAGGGACAGAGCAGAGAACCAACCAGACGAAAACCCCCTCCCTCTTGGGGTTAACATTCTAGCAGAGGAGATGGCCTAGAGATACAATGTGTCAGCGAAGAGGAAGGCACAAGGCTCAGACGTCCGTGTGGGAGCGGGCTAATGCAGAGGCCCAAGGAGGGCGACCCGGGAAGCATCCCTGGCCGCAGAGGCCGCCCCGGGTCCGAGCAGAACAGAGAGAAAAGCCCGGCCAGGCAGGACCCGCGCGGGTAAGACAAGCCAAGTGACAGGGACCACACTTCCCAAACCCGGGCCCGACCTGAGCGAAGGACAGACACCCGCCGCCTGGAGCCGCCATGATCGGCTCCGGAAGGAAGAAGGGACACTCACCTCACCAAGCCTGACTCTCGGGAGGTTCTGTCCCGGATCCCGGGGCGCCGGCGCCGCCACCCCTCGCTCAGATCGCCTTAGAGAACCAAAACCTGCACCTTGAACGCCGCCATTATTGTCCCATAATACCTTGTGCGGCCCCTTCTATCCGTCCAAAGAGACCATAGAGAGCGACCCGGAAAATGCCGGTTCCTGGCTCCAGGCCCGGGACATAACGCGACCAAGCCCTCAAGACTAGAATGCCCGCCTCTGGGCCTCTGACCAGAGACACTTCCGAGTCTCGCCGCGACCAACCACACCGGCCGGAGAAGCGAGACCCCGCCTCTAGCCCGAGAGGGTGGGAGGGAACAGGAAAGAGGCCGGGCATGTTTAGTAAGGGCGGAAGTGACTCCACGGCTTCCGGTCAGAGCCGGTCAAGTAGACGGCGACTAGAACCACCGGTTTCTTGGGCTACGCTGGTTCATCTACTGCGCCTGTGCGTTTTCCTCTTCCGTTTCCGTTTCCTGAAGTGGATCGCCCAGGGTTGCTAGGCAACAGCCCCGGGTGGCTTTGCCTTAGGGTCCCTGAGCGCTTCCGGCCGCAGAAAGGAGCCGCCGGGGTCCAGACCTGGGAAAAGAGGCCGCGTCGCCGCCGGCAGTCCTGAAGTTCGAGGGAGGAAACTTGTACAAACAAAGTAAGTGTCGTCTTCCCTACCGCGGACATCATTAAAGTTTAACCAGGGACTCCTGTGTTTTTCAAGAGTGAACTGTATTTTCCACACCCGGCGGGGAATCCGGGTGCCCGGCGGCCGACTTAAGTCGTACGCGAAGTTTCCACCGCGCGGGCCGGAGGCGCCCCACCCCGGCCTCGTTCCAGGGTCAGCGGTGCGGACTGTTTGGGGAGGGGAAAGACGCGCACCCGACGTAAAGAAAGCTCCCCTGTCTGTCCGCTCGCAGCGGTCGCCGCTGGTGGCGTGGGGGTTATTCCTTCCCACTTGCTTCTGTTGGTAAGTTCGGGTGATGGTGAGGTTTTGTACCGAGACTGTGGAGTGTGGTAGCGCACTGTCTCGTAACTTTTCTTTATCATGAGAACTTCGCAGTACCCGCGATGTGCATCTCTAACAGTACGTGGTGGCTTTCACGGTACATTGCAGAACTGTACTGTCTTTCCTTCGCCAGTGCCCTCTTAAGTTGCCATGTAAGCTAGTTCCAGGGTTTTGCCCCTGTCAGTGGGACGAGTATCCTTTGCGTGTAAATCTTTGTGCGTATGTCTGTTTCCTATGGTTCAGCTTTTTCTCAAGGAGCGTGTCGCCTCTCTGCGCTCCAGCAGGGACTGTGAGTGCCTGCCCTTCATTCACACGCTTTCCATTTTTGTTTAACCTTTACCAATTTAGATGGCTTTTTAAAAATATATCTTTTAATTTGCTTTCCTTTGCGCTTACTGTAGTGTATTTATGGTTCATTTGTTCTTGTTCTTTTGTGACCTCTCTTTTGGCATCCTTTACTGTGGGCATTTTCTTAGGTTATTGTCTCAGTTTCTCTCTCCTTCCAACATTTATCCATTCTTTCCTCTCCACCCCCTTTTGACAGCTCTGCCCGCCCCCTCTCTTCTTCCTCTTTATCAGGAACATACAGGGGTTGCTGTTTGCTTAAATTCTAGCGGTGGGACAGGTTCATCTTCTCTTTGACGTTCCCTTTCATCAGTAATTTGTTCTACCACTCACATTTGATGAAGTCCCTCCTGGCCGTCAGCTTCCCTATTTAGAACAATTTCATTTCCTATATGAAATTTTATTAATTCATATCTTAAAATGTGGCTTGTCACACACACACACACACACACAAATAAACAGAAAAAGAAAGCCTCCCTTCTCGTAGCATTAGCCAACTTTGGAACTGAATTTAAAGTACCGAGTATATCAGTGGGTCTCTTGGATGGATGCAGAAATAAAGCTCCTTGACCCGAGACTTTCTTGATCATAAAAATGGGAACTTACTATATGTAGTAGAAGGAACACTAGAGTACAGATTTGGTGGCCTGGCTTCCAGTCCTAATTTTTGTAGCTAGAAGTGTAACTATAAGCAAACTAGTATGTAAAATGAGGGGTTTGGACTAGGCAGAGGGAGAGCAGTAGCTGAATCTCCTAACTGCAGGCTGACCTCCTGCACAGCTACCTTCTCCACCACACAATTCCGGTCACTCCTCCCTTCCATGACTCCTCCAGGTGTAGGGGTGGGAACAGCACCCCGCTGTTACTCACCCCAGAGTATAGCACTGTACCCTATTCTTTTCCTATATCCTGCCTTCATGGGAGTCCCCCAATTGCCAAATTTGAGGGTGTCATCTTTTTTTCACATGAAATACTGACTGGCGAATGCCCATTGGTATTTCTAGTGAATGCGTAATAAAACTCTGGAAAGTACATGAGAAGCTAATGGAAGTAGCTACCTGGTGTGTGGGGAGAAATGGGGCAGCAGGACTAGGCCAGTGAGGGGAGGGAAAAGGAGGGAGGGAGATTTTTCACCCTATTCCTTTCTATATTCTTGCTTTTTAACTGGTAGACTTATTTGTCACCAGATTGTGCATTGGTTGTGTTCGTTTTACTTTTCTGATTCTGTGTTGTGATACTGTGTTCCGCTGGGGAAAAAACATGCATACGGTGTGTCCCCAAGACATGTAACACTGTAATAGTGGTACACTATAACAGCTGATGGCTCAACTTTGAAAATGAAGTGTATTGTAAGAAACGCTGCCTTTATAATTATTCAAAGTGTGTGTACATTTTGGGGGGACTATATTACCTACTCCAAGAATTAATTTTTTAAAAAATGAGGACTCATGCCCTTAATCTGCCTTTAAACATTGCAACTTTATTTCAGGACTGACAGTGAGGGATTCATTGGATTATTTCAAGATGAGCTTTCTGTTGCCCAAGCTGACTAGCAAAACAGAAGTCGACGAGGCAATAAAGAGCACTGCAGAGAAGGTGTTGGTTCTCAGGTTTGGGAGAGACGAGGATCCTGTCTGTCTGCAACTAGATGACATTGTAAGTAAATATTTAAAATAATTTTTTTTAATCTGTACATTCTTACTTCAACATCTGCCAGGTGCATGCAGGAACGCAGGCAGGGTCTGGGATAGAGCTGTTCAGTTGTTAGTATGCTTTCCTAAGAGCTGAGCCCCTAAACCTGTGATTGTGCCGAATCTGTGCTGGGTGTCCTTCCCCTCTAGCAGCTGTCCAAGCTCCACTTCACCAACAAGGCAGTGAGAGACCCGAAACATTATGAACAAGCACCTGTGACCATTATCTCACAACACTGGCTTCATTACGACTACTGTTCCCAAGGGGAGAAATGAATGCCAGAGAGGCCAAGTGACGTCCCACAGGCACAGAACCACGAAATTGCAGAGCTGGGGTTTGAACTCTGTTTTCTCTGCCTGCAAATCTGCTTTACTAGTGTGCTGCTCCAGCATGCGCCCGATGATGATCTCTGACTTCACCACCCGTCTTCACACTCCGGTGAATAGGAAGGGCAGTTTGGGACAGAATAGGTTTATTCTTGTGTCTGTTTATTATGGAGAGAGACTCACTCCAGAACTAAGACCTCTGTTCTATTGCTGATGTCACTGTTGTGTCACTATTTTGTTTATTATGGAGAGAGACCTACCCCACTATTTCTATTGCTGACATCACTCTATGGATGGAGTGTAAGAATCCTCATTATCGCGATTAAATATGAGTATGTGATGTGTTACTCTGTGGGGTAAGGGCCAGAGGATTATACCTCAGCTGTAGGGAGGAAGGACTACCACTGGAGGTCAAGAGCACAGACTCTGAAGCCAAGCTCCCTCTGTTCAAATCCACACCTGACTAACTGCCTACTAGCTGTGTGTCCAGGGGCAGATTACCTCCCTAGGCCTCAGTTTCCTCACCTATGAAATGGGGACTGTTAGAGTGCGTACCTCATAGGAACGTTGTAGGTTTAAATGAGTTAAAAGTGGAAAGCAGTTAGGGTAGCACATAATAGTGCCATGTAAGTGTGTGCTTTTTATATATATAACTATCATTTATGTGGAGATTATAAAGAAAAACATTTGGGGGAATTTCGATGTCTGTAGTACATGTTTATGAGTTGTTGTGTTTTTGCTTTAAGTGAGCATGGATTTTATAAATCCATGAAAAGTTCATAAAAACTTTACAATCAAAAGTAGAACAAAAATGAAGGAATATATTCACATATGAATGATAAAGTTACACTGTCTAATGTGGAACTCAAACAGGCTGGATTCTTGGCCCAGGAATTTTTTAAAACAGAATATTCTATTAAAACGTTTTGTAGCAGAAACAGTGGTTTCATGTTGCAACCTACATCTCTCCTCATTTGCAGCTTTCCAAGACCTCTTCTGACCTGAGTAAAATGGCTGCTATATATCTGGTGGATGTGGACCAAACTCCAGTCTATACACACTATTTCGACATCAGTTACATTCCATCCACTGTGTTTTTCTTCAATGGGCAGCATATGAAAGTGGATTATGGGTAAGTTAGGCTGACATGAAGCTATAACAGTCTAAGTTTCCTTTTCAGCAGTTCGGTAACTTACCTATTTGCTTGCAGTGTTGGCTAGGTGAGTCTTTTATTGATACTGTCTCTTCAACAGATACTCTAATTTTTTTATGTGCAACTTGGTGCAAAATGAGTATTCTGGCATGATTGGCAAATTTTAATTTTCTACTTAAGTATGAAAGAATAGTACAGGCTGTGAAGCACTAATCATCCTTCAGCCTTGAAAATATCAAACCACTTTCTTACAAGTTCCCCAGGGATTTCATTTAAAACAAAATATGTCACTGTTAAACTTTTGGGACTGATAGTTTGCATTTATAAAAGAAGTACTCCTTTCAGCAAACTAAGACATGCTCCTCTCTTGCCAAGTTTCCTGTCTTCTGCCAGGAAAGAAGTTGTTCTTTTGTTGGAAGTTATTCTTCAACAAAGCCTGTCAAGTATAAGTAACATGAAGTCTTCTGTAATGCCTTCTGCCCAATAAGCATCCCAGTATTTAATATTTATATTGAAAATATCCATAATTTTTATTTTTTCTTAATGTGGTTGAGATATCCTCTTGTCTAGATCTATGTACCTGCTTTGTCATTATTAATTTGAAAGGTGTAAAATGTTATGTGTATTTGAAGAAAATTCTGAAAGTGGGCAAAATTGGCTCCAGAGATACTTATTTCATCATTGTTTAGGAAGCAAAATATTTAGAATTTAGATGTCCACAAAGGGATACTAGATACCAATTTACTCTGATGTTGTAGATGCATGGTTAACTTTGAACAAAACATATGTTTTTTAAAAACCACATTGCAAAATAGAACGTGTGATATAATTCCCATTACTGTGAAAAAAATGCACATAGAGACACATGTACGTACATATGATTGGAGGGATATATACCAAAATGTGGCAACTTTTTTTGTCTTGAAAAATTTCTGCAATGAACATACTTGATGTTCAAAATAGTGAAGAAAAAAAAGGAAGAAGGAAGGAAATTAATACCCACTACTCAGAAATGGAAGTGACTGGAACTTGGAGACCACAACTAGGGCTTTGCACAGTGCCTAGCCAAACACAACAACAATGAAACAAACTATGCCCACACCAGTACTCAGGGAATTGTACTTGAGAATGAGTTGAGAAATGGTTAAAATACATTTTGAGCAGAAGCTTTCCATATGATAGAGCTTACATGTTATTCCATGCCCACAGCTCTGGTTTTAGTCGTATATCAAATGGGCCCTGTAATTGCAAATGGAAAAATCATTGTTGGGCCTTATGGCTAAAGTCTCCCTTACAGGAAGAGCTACTGTTCGTTTTGTTTACCCTGAAGGTCTTCAGCAAGTAAATATTCAAAGTTCTGAGCCAGGTTGTTTCTCTTCTGTGCTACCTAGGTCTCCAGATCACACTAAATTTGTGGGAAGTTTCAAAACCAAACAAGACTTCATAGATTTGATTGAAGTAATTTATCGAGGAGCAATGAGGGGAAAACTTATTGTCCAAAGTCCAATTGATCCCAAGAATATTCCCAAATATGACCTTCTCTATCAAGACATTTAGCACATTAACTACCGTCAAAGCTGAAGAGAAAGGCCCATCTCGAAACGGTACGCGAAGGCAGCTGTGCTGTTTCCCGGATCCTTCGGAAAGGTGCTCAGCGCCCCGGGGGAGAGAGGTTTGACTTGTATAGAAAATACTAGCCTGAGTGGAAGACCCACGGGACTGTGATGACCTGGGGAGCCTAAGTGTTCATTCCCCACAAACCTCAGAGCAATCAAGTCAACTGTGGTCAATTTCCCTGCATGATTTGTTTGACTTTTCTTTATATTGTGCTTTTCTTTATCTCTTAACATAATACAGAATTTTCCTAAACATTGGCTAGTACAATTTGATTTAACTATATTTATTTGACACACAAGTAAAATGGAAAGAGCAAAAATACTTATTTTCTACTCTATATGTACATACACACACCTCTTTCTCACCCTCAACCTTGCCCATTCCTCCACTCACATATTTCTATTACTCATGCTCTCTGATCTCCAGTCCTAATTATCCCAGTTTCTCTTGGAATGAATAATTCTCCACTGATAGCAGGCAAGTTTGTTTTATTTTGGAGCCTTCCTGGTTCACACTTCGAAAACAGTGTCTTGGTTTGCAAATGTACTAGCCTTTGTGCTATTAAATTACCCAGGAAGTGAGACTTGAACCTTTACCATCCAGCACCCAATTTGAGCTAAACAAAGAATTAACTACCCTTAGCAAGTAGGAACAGAGCTCTCCCAGAGTCAGAGTTCCACCTCTTCCTGAGACAAAACTGCTTCAGGGGCTCATGACTAGAAAGAGAGAGAGAATCAGAATTGTTAGAAAGCATAGGGGCTGCTTTTCCCACTTGGAGGAAACCTCTCTACAGGAGTCTGCATTCTTGTAGTATGTAGCTTGTTAATACTAATAAAGGAAGAGAGCCAGAGGGAAGCCAGACAGTGGAAGCATGGTCATCTGGGCAGCTTTGCCAGGAAACTACAGGTTCACGCTCCCCAGGGAACCACCATGCCATTCCCTGCAGATCACGGGAAAGGATCAAACAAAAGGGGAGGTGGACAGACAAAGCGGGAGATGGGCGCCTGTGCAGTGAAGTCGGTGATGTAGGGGAGGTGCTTATCTGTCAGTCTAGCCTGGGGAGCAATGGATTGGCTAGGAGGGTGGAGCCACCACAAGTGCACAAAATTTTGGGAGGTTAAAATCCCCAAAGAGTTCCTCCTCTCTTGCTCTTGCTTGCTTGCTCTCTTGCTCCATGACCCAGGCTTGCCCGTGCCTTCGCCTGTTCGCTCTCCATTGCTCTGGCCTTAAGCCGCTGAGTGGCCTCTGGCTATGCAGATTCGCACACAGTGGACTACAGCCAGGACCACAAGCTAAGCAAGCCGGATGCTGGACTGGACTTTAATATGGAGCAGGAACTCTGGTCAGTGGCCTTCATTCTGGCCCCGCTGAAGACAAGATTGGATTTCTTCCACGGCGAGACGGACAGAAATAGGACCTTGGAGGAGAGCCCCCTTAATTTTACATCATTAATACAGCTTTCCAGGAAACCTCATTCTCTCGCAGGGACCTCAGGAAATTTTTTTCTCACAGCACCCCAAGTACTCCACTTCCACCGGTAATAAACACAAGCCATCCGAGTTTTCCATTTCACAAAGAAATGCTCTTCAGGGATTCCCAGAAGAGAGATTCCAGAACCCTTTCAGACAGGAAGCTCTTTTTCTAACTGAACTCTTCGGCTATAAACCTTTAGTACATCGCCCAGCCAGCATGGCTCAGTGGTTGAACGTCGACTAGGAGATAACAGTTCGATTCTTGGTCACAACAAATAAACAAGTTTCGGGCCAATCCCCAGTGCGGGCACGCAGGAGGCAGCCGATAAATGATTATCTCTCATCATTGATGATTCTGTCTCTCCCTTCCTCTCTGAAATCAATAAAAATAGTTTTTTTAAAAATAAGGATGCAGCAAGGAGCTCAGCGTTTGTATTCAGACAGACTTAGATTTAGGGTTCGGCCTTGCTGCGTAACCTTAAGCAAATTACATAACTTCTCAGAGTCTGTGTTCCCTGTCTGTAAAACAAGGGTAATGATGACCTTTCTGAGAGCTGCCTCAGTAGGCACTCAGTGAGTGTGACCAGCAGTGAGACAGTTTGTATCACCATAGGGCTTTCCAGTCGGCCTGCAGTGTTTGCTGACACAATCCCAGTACACGCTGCGCCACTTGGCTGCTGCTGTACCATAAAGGAAAGGATAAAAAGGTCCAAGCCCCCCGGCCCCCCAAAAAGAAAAAAAAAAAAAAACACAGAAATGAGTGAAAAGAAAGCTCTTTATTGTTTGCCTTAGACATGCAGGTCTGGAGCCCATCGGTTTCACACCAGCTTTTGTCCCTCCACCCCCATCCAGTTCCCCTCTTCCAGAGTGAAATCTAGCACACGTTAGTTGTCGGCCGTGGTTTTCCGAATCCAGTCCAGGATGGAGTGCACCTTCACATACACACCGTACTCGGCCACGCTACAGCTCTTATCAAAGCTCAGGATCCCCGCCGCGTACCAGGTGTCGTCATCAGTGTCATGGACAGCAAAGGCGCTGCCAGCATCCCCGAAGCAGGTGTCCTCCTGGTACTTGGACAGGCCAGCGCAGAAGGTGTGCTCGTTCAGTATGGGCTGCACCCCCACAGGGCTCTTGAGCTCCTTCTTTTCGGGCACCGTGCTGTTTTCATAGTGCCGCACACAGCTGTCCTGGTCAGCCACAGGCAGCATGACGTACTTCAGGAGCTGGGTGAAGTTAAAGTTGGCGTTTCGTCCCCAGCCAGACACATAACCCATGCGATTCACTTCCGCATAATCTTTGGAAGGGAGGCAGATGGGCATTATTTTCTCACCCACGGGCACCTTCTGTTTGAGTTTAATGAGCCCGATGTCGACCTCGAGGTAGTTAGGGTGGAGAATCACCTTCTCAACCTCCACAAGTTGCTGCTTCCCCAGATAGAGTCTTAAAGTGGGGGCAATATCTTTTGCCTTTGCGTTTTCCTCATGACCCAGGAAGAGGTTCTTAGCCGTGGTCAGCAGCCATTGCTCGCTGATGAGCGTGGCCCCCGTGGTGAGGTTATGATGCGAAATCATCTTGGCCTGCCAGGGAAAGCTATCTTTGGCATCCACCGAGCCACCCAGGATCCGCTGGACCTGATCTACCGGGTTCTTGGGCTTCCCGCACACTGTCAAGGAGAGCAAGGAAATCATGAGAAACGCGAGGATCTCCCCATCTGGGAGGGGGAAAGCTTCGGCTGTCACTGCGGTCTACAGGATCATTGTTCATCTCTTCCGGCCAGGAGTGTTTACACGCTTTGCTTTACCATCTGTCCTCTTGTTTCCAGTGTTTACCGTCAGTTGTTTCTATCGCTAAGGCAGAGCTCCATTACTGCTTTCCTAACTCACCAAAGAA